GACTTCCACCGAAACGTAAAATACCGGTATTTTCGGTTGAACCTTCGCCCTATACATATAACCCTATATAAGCCCTCCTCTTATAGAAGCCGAAAAAATACTGGTATTTACTTCGGTTTTCAGTAATATATCGGTTTCGGTATAGCTTTGATGGCACAATACCGGTATCAAAATCATACCGATTTAAGTCCCTGAATTACCAAGTCGTAGGAGGTCCTTTGCCTACCTCACTTTTTCCCCTTGTGGAAACCGAGTTCGCTCGCGAGTGTACATACAATATTAAAACAGTACTGAAGGTACACAGGTATAATGTAGATAATGATATTTGAAAAATAATAAGTAATGACATTGAAAATGTACTTACGTCTCGTTTAACGACGGTTTTCCAGTATCAGTTCGTCTAGGAGTTCTAGGTTCGCCTTTTTCATCTCTATAAAAAGCATACAGGCTTACAGAAAATCCTAAAGCGTGCAATATTTCGTGTTTTACGGTACTCAGCAGCGTTTCCAATTCTTGTGGTTTCGTGCTGATACTCCCCGGGCATAGATTGGCGTGACCAGCTATCGGTCTAAAAAGAATCGTATCGGTTTTAAAGTTATGTGATATTCGAAGTTGGAATGAATCTGTTTAAGAACATAACTAATAACTTTGGTAATAATATTTTTACAGTCGATAGCTTGTATTATACTTAAATAGAGTACAACATTTACAATACAATCAATTAAATTAGTACAACGTAGATATTGTTACGACCAGTGGTACGATCGTTCGGGTTTCGTGGGTATTTGTACGTGGTGTGCCGACTAAAAGGTCTCACTCCCTCTAAGAACTACCCTTCTTACAATTAGTGAAAGGAAAAAAACTTTGATTTTAATAATGTTACAATATTTTTGGTACACCCTGTATAACCGTTCTAAATGTCCCTTTCTTATGTAACAAAACATTGGCATGAAACCGTAATCTTCTGATTACAAAATCAAGTCAACTTTTTATTAGGCTGGTATGAAAAAATGACTAATTAACATTAGGTTTACGGGATGCGACATTTCGAATGTCTTCTAATCTCGAAGTTCTCTATTTGGTATACCTATCTCTACGGACACGCGTCAATTTGATGTGATCGTAAATTGAGTATTGCCTAAAACAATTTGTTTTTTGTAGAAAATCTGCGGTTTCGTTGATGCGTGTCCGTAGAGATAGGTATATAAGAAATGTCCGTTATAGATTTTCAAACGTTCAATGAACAGAAAAAATATAGTAGCTTACCGATCTAATGCTGCTTCTTGTTGGCAGTGCGCAGCGTAGGCTACAGTTAATCCTTTATGACATCTTTCAGTTTGCATTGCAGATACATAGAACACAAAATCGGCACCATCAATTCCCCGGCCAGCCTTGCTCCCTTCTCCTATTCCGCAATTGTGGCCAGTAGCGTTACACGTTCGACAAACCTGAATATTAGACAAATATAGAATATGTTAGATACTTTGACCATAAACGTATAGAGTACATATTTGACTAGCAAGAGAAGACATAAATAAAATCGATAATCACAACCTGTTTTAAACAAAAATTATACTTATTAATATTAAGTTTAAACTATGAAGTGTATTCTCAGAAAGTACACACGACAAAGTAATCGGATATTAAAAAGTCTATGCTTACTTTTTCTTGCTCTATTTTTATAGTAATCTTTATCTCATTTTCTAGTATATCTCCATATCTCTAACGAGAAAATGAAATGGTGTAATTTTAATTAACACGTTCAATGCAGATAACATGAACGTAGGCGTCATGGCGATGTTCTATTCTACCTTTTCCGAGAAATATGGAAAGGAAAAAGGGATTTTCCAGGTATCACGTTAATCTTTTAAACACGAATTCAGTATGAGGGCTGCTATCAGTCTGAATAGCTGTTTTGAATTTCGACCATTTTTCGCCCTTTTAAAGCTGTTTTTGTACTTATTAAGATAAGTTGTATTTTTTATATCTTCCACTATTCCTTATTAATATTTCTATTCAGTTTCTTTGCCAAATATATAATTTGAAATAAATAATTATATATTGAATATATAATTTAAAATAATTTGAATGTTCAATTTTGAGTAAAAACGTCGTGAAGAAAGTGTAAAATCGGTGGGCTTTTAGAGATTTCCGTTTTCATTATAGGATTCTGCGATTACTTGAACGGTTTTCGACATAATTTCTAATTATTTATTTCTTTCTGATTTCTTACACAGTTTTCATCAATCATTACATTCATTTCCATCATTATTATAGTGAAATTAAAAAGACGTTATAAGAAATACCCTACAAAGGAGATATTTATTATTTTTTAGATACTTATTCAGGTCTCTGCTTTAATAAGTGCTTTACGAAACATTATAATTATATATATAATATTGCAAATATTTGTAGGTACTTTGTAAGTGAAGTAACTTATATTACTTTTGTAATACTATTTCCCAGTGTAATAATTATGTATGAATCAGTAAATAAGTAGAATATTTAGTAAAATATTAATTTTAATATAGTGTTTTCTTAATTGGTATTGTCGAAATTTCTACCAATATCATAATTTATAAGCACATATAAAATAGGCGAGTCGAAATCAAAATGAAATGTGGGTTTGTGTAACTAAACTCCTATCGTATGGCGGGTAACGTGTACGTCCACGCTGTACTTCTCGTACGAAACATATTTCATTTCCGGTTAAAATCTTACGAAATATCAAAAGTTGCATAAACAGGTATATTTTATAGAAGATCTTTTTCCACAACCTGGGTCTCCCTTCGATATTTGGTACAGCTTTAGACGTGTTAAAGTAACAGGTAATGTAAGATACAGAACAAAATTAGACAAATCGATCTTTCAACAAATCTTTATTGTTGTTACGAGCTGAGGGCTAAAGACAGTCTTTGCCAACAGCCAATAGTATGTTAGTAGCCGACGAATGAATGCTTATTTCATCACCGGGAGCCGCTGGAATGACGAAAAGTCGCGGACGAACCGGTGTATGTTCACCACTGGAAGCCGCTTAGAGATACGAATGAACCTGAGCTTATTTCATCACAGGGAGCAACTAGGTTTGGGGAAATTGATTAGCCCCGTAATGCTACAATAAAGATGCAGTGTACCTCGAGCGGTAAAAGTACACTATTGTGGGTTTTACTCTACTTGGAAATTCAGAAATGAATGGGTCTTCTTTAAAGAAATTGACTCGGAATTATAAATATATTATTATTTTGTATTTATGAAATTTCTATTCTATAATATAATCACCGCCAATATCAATAACATTCAGCTATCTGCTCGGCAAGTTTTGAATGCCTTTCTCCCAAAAAGATCGGGCCTGGGATGCAAGAAAGTCATCAATGTACTTTTTGAGGGAGTATAATTGTCAAACTTCTTGCCCAGGAGATGTCGTTTTCTAAAAGAAAAGGAAGCTAATTCCAGCGTTCTCGGTTTTCACGTACTGACAATGAGAAATGCGGGGACCTGTCATACAAAGTAAAGCTTACTATTTAAAATGCTTGAAAGGGAGTTAATACCCGATCTCACTAGGTAGACTTCTGGTGTAAGTATGGACCGAGGATGAAGACGTAGACGTCCTAGAAGGGTGCCTTTTGCCCCATCCTACAATAACAAAATTGGATTTTGCCCCCCCCCTTCCCTTTCCAGAATTATACAATTTTTGCGTAATATTTAATATTAAAGTATAATTTGAAAGACGACCAGCAGCCTCTATTAACGAAACGCGTATATTTTCAACGATTTATGACTTTAAAAACAAAATAAAGTGTGTTTGGCTACGTTCAGCCTTTTTCACTGTGGCAGTCGATGTGTTAATATTGTTGCCCCCCCCCCCCAATGACTGATGACCTGGTTACGCTCATGCTACACTATTTCTTTACGAGCCCATTGGATTTTTAAGCTTTATCAAAATTAAACTGTTAGAGACACAGCAAAATGAATAAAATGTTTTTTATTATTTAATATTACTACTCTCCAAAAATCTTGTGAAATCATCAATATATACAATCCTTGAATAATATAAAAAAAATTAATATTTTATTCCATTTATGCTCCACTAGCCATCCTTATTAACACTAGGTTTACGGGCACTTATCGTGTAGGTATCTCCACGGCACGCATCAACCAACCCGCAGATTTTCTTTAAAAAACAACTTATTTTATATAATACACAATTTATGATCTCTGAAATTAATGCATAGCTATAGAGACAGGTATACCACATAGAGAATTTCGAGGTTAGAAAGCATTCGAAATGCGTCAAAATGACGCGTCCCGTAAACCTAGTGTTAATATTTGAATACTACATCGAATATACGTACACATACATTCTTGCATTTCAAGAATTTATAATGAATTTCCAAAGAATACTATACGAAGCCATTTGTTAAATTTTATTTTATATCACATAGGAAACACAATGATGATATACATTTCTTGATCAATTTGTCATACTTTTATGAATAAATGCTTATAATAATGCTTATGTGTTCTGTGTAGCTTTGTATATCCTTCAGGACGTAATCAAAGCACATCTACTCTTTACGGAACTCGGCGAGAGATTCATGAACATATAAATTCTAAAACACATCTAAAAATATCAGATTTATGTTTTTTATATTTTTCGAAATCGTCACATTCGTCCTTAGATTAACTCCTTAAACACACTACTTTATGTATTAAATACGTTAATATCAAACGTTACGAAAACGTCACGCTTGGCGTTATACGGATACCAAAATTTTTGAAAACTGTCGTCATCCTGGTGGTTTTTAGAGACAACATTAAAAATAATTTAATGTACGATCGATATTTTACGTATCAGAAGTGAAAATATATTTAATCCTGCTTCTGTTCTAACAAGAAAAAATATTCGGTTCATGACGTATGCGCGCCGCGATAGTATTTCGAGTTGAACTGGTTAAAGGTATGAAATAGAAAGTTAAAACGAATCAAAGCTGACGAAAGTATTAGTTGGAAACAGATGCAGTGTATGGAGTTCGAGCTTGAGTCTGGTTGGCGGGTTTAGGAACGTATCGCACCAGTTTCAGTCAGGCTGACCGGATTGGATAACTTCCGAAACGAAGTGGGACAACTCCGACAAAACCCGTCTGTTGCAGTACTTTACTTGGTGGATCACGGAAGCAACATGGATTAAGTGGGTAGATTGCGGAAGAAGTCGACCCGTTTGGTATGGACTGTAAACGCAAAACTTTAGTGCAGAAGGAGAAGGTAAGTATACAGTGTGATTCTGGCAACTGAGCCAGGCTATAGCTCTGTTCGAAGTGAAGTTAAAAAAACATCGTAGAGGAAAATTTTTCAAAGTATAACAAGCTCTGTAAACTGACTTATGATTTTTTTCACAAGTGCATCGGTGCATTTATAAAATACAATTGCATTTGTTTTTAAATGCAACCCTACAATTGTTTATGCATAAATTGATTCCTTGTGTTATTCTACGTATAAAAGGCATAAGGAAAGGTAATTGGAAACACAATACTTTACTAGATATTTCTGTCTTTCTGAAAACTTAGAGCAAGGACTCAACCGTTTAACCTACATTTTAAACATTGTGTAAATGCCCTTACTAGTTTTCTTATATTTTTAAAACGTTCTGTTATTTTTAAGACAGACTATGTATGTATTACGTATACACAAATTTGTGAAAGAATGAAATGATGTATACGCAAATTATAAATACTTTATTTATTGCATAAAAGTATGAGAAAATGGTTCCCAGGGTAGTTATTCGACAATTTGTGTTCATAACAGGATTGACGATAATGGGATCAGCTTCTGATTTTGGAGCAATTATATTGTTACAATCTTGTGAAACTTACATGAATATGCAACTTCATTATTACTTTTTAACTAAAATCTATGCTATTGCTTGAAACAAGCAAATCATGTGTCAATATATTAACAAGTAAATAGTACAGTTTAACATCGAAACTGTGGAAATAAGGAATTTAATTATACCTGTAAAATGATTGTATTGAAAATATTAGTCTAGAATACTCCACATTAGAATTATTAATCCAAACTATTCCATATTTAAATTATTACTGATTTTCCTGATAATTGTTGATCAATTTTCGTACATGTCTTAATAAAAACCAAAGTATAAGATCAAGAGCGTTAAATCCTTTAAGGGGTCATTTTATTTTGACGATCGAAAATGTTAAGCTATTTTTAAAGATCTTTCCTTCAGTAAGTACAATATGTAATCAAATGCATGTTGTTATTATTTATCGAAATACTTTTTGACAATTTTTTTATATTATTCATAAGTACCTCGACAATATGCATTTGATTACTTATTGCATTTACTGAGGAAAAACTCCCTAAAGATAGCTCTTGGAATAATATATACCATCGAATTAGAACACGCATATTAATATATAGCTCTTGGAATAATATAGTTGTAAAAAAAGAGAATTGAATATTTCAAATCTAATTAATTTCATATTTCAATTGCCAATACTAAAATTTGTATTCTGAAGGCATTCTATTGTACCTAATAACCATATTTCTATAATATAAGATTGTTAAGTTCTTTCTTACGTCGAGATGATCTTCAGGAACGACTACTTCACCGCACATTGTGGTAGATCGGCAGGTGTCTATACAGTGCGTATGATGATCTTTAACGAAGACTTGGCTACTTTCGCATTTCCTAAAAAATAACAAATTAACGCATAATTATATGTTCACGAAAATTCTAAAAATAATAAAATAGTAATGAATTATTCGAATATTGTAAGTTCCACATGACACATTTTCAAAAAACAAATGTCATGTAATGCATTGCTCGATTGCAATAGTGGACCATTACGCGTACTTCATACGAAGTAACTTCATGTTAGTTAATTAGGCTCAAACGCAAATAATGTATATTAACTAACATACTTTTTTCCGGGGGTACACCACACTTGTAGCCTAAAATATTGATACTTTAATTTGTTGAATTTTAATGAATTCTCAAAGGTAACATTTGTCAGTGGAAAAATTTGCTTTTCCTTATAAAGCTGCCATTTTTTTTCTTTTTCTTTAGATTATTAAAAAATTGCGCGCTATGCTGTAGAAATGTTTATAAGAAATAATGTGTCCAAATTTGCTGGGTGCTAATTGCAAAGATCCTGCCGGAAGTGAAGATATAGAGTATGTTGCAATATCTCCGCTATTTTGTAATTTTAAATAATAATTAATGGAAAAAAATCAAGTTGAAATGTTATTTAACATCTCTTAAAATGATTCCAATATTTTATCGAATAATTACCTGAGAATTATCTGAGAACAAATTTTAAATTGATAAATAGTAACAAAAGTAGAGGTGTGTCTCTTATAAGTTGTGTTACATCTAAGCTAGACAAAGGACGGAGAAGGAAGCTTTTTTGCTTGACCTTATACATTGCTACCTGAATTTCTGAAAGCTATCTTTGTTAAAAAATTCAGAAAAGGCCCATGCGCTGGTCTCAACCAATGCCGCCTGCAATTGTCCAGAAATACCGGTTCCTAGTACGTCACAATAATACAACAATGTAAACCTTCGTAACAGTCAAAACGATATTTCGCAACGCAACATTGTTTGCCAGTATAGTAACCACTGCCTATAAGCCTGTAAACTGATCAAGGCATAAAGATGAACGCTAACTTGAGTTTGCTGATTTTCCTGCTGTACTAGCTTATTGCTCTTACTCTATAGAAAATCTGTTTTTTATTCAATCTTACAACAATTTAATGTTGTTTATCGAGAGCATAGCATTGAGTGTTATTGTTAATAGTTTCTACATAACTACAGACTATTCGTAAAGTAGGAATAATATTACGGGAGCCACAAGATTTTTCTTTTGTGTTGAAAACTCTCATGGGAGTAGAATCGTTTAGATGCCCAGGGGAGAGAAGACGAGAACGACGTCGATCGAGGTTATCTTAATGGAACAAGAATGGCCACCATGGGATACCGATCTTCTAGAGACGTTTGGACACTATCGATCCTTATATATGTATACTTTTATGTGATAGAGGTAGATAAACACTACGTCAGAGAAAGCAGTATTACGATAGAACCAAGGACAAAGAGGTTCCCAGGAGGAAACAGTCACTAGGGGTGCAAGTAGACCCCGTTACATATACGCCCATAACTGGAGCGCATTAGATGATACAGACGTAAAGAGCCGCTATTACGATGTTTTGAAGTTTAACGACGAAAAAATTTCTGCAAGGACTTTTTTATGTAGCAAATGAATACACAGTTTAGTTTAAATGCGTATAATAGTAGTAAGCACTTTACTCGCTTCTTAGAATACGGGAAAAGGACTTTTACGACTGCTTTTTCATCATTATAATTTACCGTCTGTGATATGTTCCAAGCTAATTAATTAAAGGATCAAATACTGTAAGTGGGATACTTTTGTTAACTTTCAATAAACAATCCCTTAATAGAAGCAATTGTGAGCATTCATTCAGATGCTGAAAAGCTGATTACATGTTTTTCTATAGTGTTGTTTAACTATTTCGTTATTTTTCCCTGAATATTCGAAATGTTATCGTATGCTTTCTATTCTATGGTACATTTTATTTGAAGAAATAAAAAAAATCTGTTGAGAAAATTAATACATACGCATATTATGTAAAGAAAATGAAAGAATTACAGATATATGTTTAACTTCCCTATAAAACAGCATTATATTCAGTTTCAGTATTCGTATTCAATGCGATATTGAAGTAATACATTTTTTGGAAAGATATATATTAACTTTAGTGGCATTTATAACGTAAGCAGATTTTTAGAGACGAGGCAGAAAAGAGTAGAGAAGGATGGAGGTGAAAGATGGACGACGAAACCGATAATGAAAGAGAGTGCACATGACAGCGGGTCATATAAAAATGGAAGTTATGGTGAAGCAGCTGCGAGATCACCGATGATTTAGACGACTACTGTCCGCGAGTGGAGTTGCTTACGTGGCTTTGTTTCTCTCTGTCGCGTGCATTACATCTGTACGGAGTGCGCCCATATAACGTAGGTAGTATGAGCTCACATTTCTCTAACGTTCTACTGGAGAACGAGCGAGAGAAGCTCTGTAAGCTCTGAAGCTTCTCTTGAACAACACTGATTTATACTACAAATTTTCAAGTGCGAGAATTCTTAAAATTATTCCTTTGATATGTAACTTCAGATAGAGTCTTGGACAATCCGATTCATCGATTATGTTTCCCTATGTTCACTCAAACGGACAGGTTCATTCATCACAATATCATTCGTATAGGGGCGTTCCGTTACGGATCTAATTATTATAACGGTCAATGTTCTAGAGCTCTGCTGTCCAACACGTTAAAACCTTAATTTAATTTTATGCCTTTTAATTTAATATAGCACCTATGGACAAAAATCGCATTTCCATGATAGTGTGATAGTAGTATGTAGGGTAGTCCGGCTTGCTTTTGACGAGAAAACTACTAAATCGTGTGATATTTGACAAAATGTGACTTGAGCAGCTATCTTGTGTGTTCACATCAGCGTCTGTCTCAATCGCACACTTTATAAAATTCCAATTCTTTCAACATATGATGTTTATTGGTGTTTCTAAGGATAAGATCATCCTGTAGGGAAGTTTACCTGTGAGTGCTATACCCACGAAAACTTCATTTGTGCAATTATCGAGGCGGAAGATGGATTCTATGAAATCGACTGTCTCACTTGTGCATCGCATTTACATATGCGGTTTCCGTTGATGTGTGAGCCCTCGCATACAGCTCACGGCCCACGGAGTCTCCCCCTTAAATATATTTATTGTGAAATGGTGTGAAGAAAGTCACCGATAGGGCTTTTCAAAGAAGTTTATCGTATGGCGAACTTAACGGAGTTTGAAGCACTTTGAAAGTACTACTCAAACGCATTTACTTGCGACACGTAATACGGAGAGAGCGGATTTGTTGCACTGACACGTTTTCTGCATTACCGTCAGATACTGAATCCCATCCCTTCGGTAAGTTCGAAACAGACCGATGTTAGATATCGATTTGTAAGACTGACTAAAAAAATACTAGACTCCGTAAATTATGTTGTTTAGGTTCCAGATAATGTAAATGTAACCACAATTGACCTACATAGTCATGCACGAGAAACATGCACAGACGTATTGAAATGTATTATATTACCAATAGTGTACTTTCAACTGCATATGCGTGTCGCGATACTTATACAGAAAATTTCCGCTTCGAACATATATTATAAATATTCTTAATAGTAATTTAATATACACGGTTGTGATTTAAATCTGAGCCAATAATGTCATAATTAAATGTTATTTTCCTTTACTACGTATATTTTTTGGTCTTCTCTATTCATTGTTTTTACAATCGTGAAAATGAAAAAAAAGTAGTAATTAAAATTTTCACTAAAAACATGGTATTTTATGAAGTAATAATTCATGACGTTAGCTTTTCCTTATGTTCCAAAGATAACTTTCGTATTTTGAACAAGAAGTGGCAACATAAATTGTTACTTTAAAAATGTATGTAATTAAATATGTACTAGATCAATAACAGGACAGAGTGGCCTATATTGTATCGGTCTCCGAAACTGTGCCTCATCAATGTTTTTCTCATTAATGAACATAAGTAACATCTAATGGTAAAAATATGAAATAAATGATCAATGAGAAGTATATAAAAACAAATATATATAAACAAATACTTTCAAGATTACATCCTTTGTACGTGCTACAAACGTTAAACGAAAATTGCGTACGATGGATGTAAGTCTGACCAATTTATTTTTACTGATAATAATTTAACAATACAGTTTTATTCTGTATTCTTGTGTTTTTTTAGAAATAGATTTCTTGTAAAATATTTTACAGTCGTTTTTATGTTCAGATATTACATTTACTATAAAGATTGAATGGATATTTATAAACAAGTTGATTATGTCTTCTAAATCGTACCACCATAAGGTGTCTTAAATTCTACTGGTATAAGTATATGTCATATAATTTTGAAACTATATACATATATACATATACAAATTGTACAAAAAGTAAATTATTTTCCATCACAATTGGCTTAACCCAGACCACGAATGACCTTTCCAATAGATCATTGAATTCGTCTTGAAATACTCTATCAGAATGTAAGTAAAGAAACATACCGTTTCATTTAAAAAAACAAAGATGATCATCATATCTCCTTGACGCCTCCACTTATCAAAAAACTAGTAACATCGGATGATCAGCCCCTCGATACCAAATTATTTTGGACTGATGCATTTTTTCCTATCACCAATAGCAGCCAAGTTATTCAGGTGGCCAGTTTTAAGTGCCTCACCCTGTATATGGCGCGACTGAAAGAATGGTACAAACGGGGAGGAGATGATTCTTTACACAAAAATATGTTAAAAGTATACAACAAAATTTGTACGCCTGAGGCTTTGTTTTCGTGAAAATCGACTTTGAAAATTTATCTAAAACGCGTGTATTCGTGCTGACAATAAGTAGTAACAGAATGCAATAAACAGACGCGTTAACCAAGTCCTATTCAATTGCGCGTGTATCCAACAAACTGTCAAATTCGATAATCTCGGAAACGAGGCATCATCTGAAAAAAAACTTACTCTCCATTTTTTACTTATTTTTGCATATAGAATAACTTCCTATTCACTTGTAACACCCTTTCAGCTACACTCTGCATACATAATACTTTCATTACCTGCTCAGTCTAATAGTGTTCTTCGTTTCACGGACCATGAGTGCTCGTTCCCAGAAATGTACAGCTTCTGGTAGAATAGTATTCTGAAACAAGAAGAAGGTACAATTTAAATTTAGCAGTAACATATTTACGTATATTCGCATTCACAAATCTTCAGATAATGCCGCGTTCCGATCGCAAAGTTCCTACGATGAATCCGCTTGAAGTAAATCTCAGACTTGACAGCCTTGCTGCGTTCGCGGTCGGAAGCAACTTAATGCCTGATAAATTAATTCTAGGCAATTGTTCTCCGAACAGTACTTCGATGGCTCCAAATTGATCATTACACAATCGACTGATATCATGTATAAATCGACTAGACGACCATCAGCAATTTCACAGATTGTCAACGAAACGCTTTAGAAAATGTTACTCAGAATGTTGGTAACTGCATGTTCTATGTAGATGTTACTTTTGTGGCAGTACTACCTTCTACATTCGCCACTAGAGGTCTACCGAGTTGACACCTTTCCTGCAACTATCTGAAGCCTTCCTCGTTTGCATATATGTATATGTCCTTAATCGACCATCGAATAACTAGCAGGCCCAGGACGAAACGCTCCCTCTCCTTCCCTTTCATAGTTTTGAGATGCATTGTGCATTTATTACAAAATATTGAAACAAAATTTCGTACGTATCTATTTAAAAAAAAATATATATTAAAGAAACGTTGATATAACTGAAAGTTAGTGTTGTATAAAAATGAACCGATAAATCTCCATTCATAGAAATTGTATATTATTTTCTACTTTTGTTGTTTCTATTGTTTCTGCTGTTCTATTTCCACTCTTTTGTTGATTTCAAGTACATTTATACATTTGAAGACCTTTATATTCCTACAAAATATTTCACATGCGACGCATATCCGAATAAATGCAATCCCTTGTATAACATTGCTGATCTTCGTTTTTTTGCATCGAGGGATAATATAGTCCGCATGATATTATACAGGAATGAACGACTGCGAATTTTTTCGTCACGGTGTTCCGCCGAGTGACGACGGTTTAAATTAAATCCGCCTACGTATGCAGAATTCGTACCCGTGCATTTACTTTTTCGTTCCAATTAATGCTGTGTATTATTTCATCCGCAAGCTATATGCGTTTCAGTGGGACTGCTTACCTGAACGGTTGACTGATTCGCAAATGTAATATAAAATAACAATATTACCAAGTATCTCTAATTTGTTTCTTGCAATGCAAACGATAATAAATATTGTAGATTAAAAAATATTGATAACTTTTAAACAGAAACAATAAGTTTAAGTACATAAATACAAGAATACATAGCACAAATTATTAGTTTTTTAAAATAATTACCGCAACGAATTATATATAAAATTAAACTATACATAATCAAGTTTATGGTTGATGCAACTTATAACGCATGAAATTATACGTACCTAATGTATTTTTACAATACTGTTTTACATCCATAGTATATTTTCTGATTTCTAGACAAATAATGCATACCTTCCTCCCATTTAATATAAGAAGACGTGAAAAGAACTTTAGTTATAGAAAAATACACTTTAATATGTACAACTGTTTGTGGTGAGTAGGTATACATATAACAATGCCTAGGTCTATTAATAATTCTGTTGGTTGCGTATTTTCAATAAATAATTCATGTCAGAATTTTTTATTATAACAGAATTTGATTTGAACAGTATCATTTTGTAAAGGTGGAATGCCGTTTACTTATTATGTACAATTACAGATAGAAGAAACTGTTAAAGAGGAAAGTTAAACTACTATTTCAGGAGACATATATGACAATAGAAACAGATGTATTATTTTACATAAGTTTCAAGGTTATTTGAAAGTCAACGCTATTTTTCAATAGCGCCATATATTTCTAATCTCCCAGGGTGCTAGATGATGTCAAAATAAGTTCAACGATATAACATACTATGACTTTAAAATGATCTTGGACTCAGAAATTTGAGATCGATCGACAGAAACACTAACGTGTGAGAGGTTTACCACGAGCAATCAACCATTCCAGAGAACATGAAAGAAAGAATAATTAGGGCTCGTGCATCCATTTCTTCGAAAACGATTGAAAGAGCATTTCAAAGAGCCACTGCTTATTTTGCTCCTCAAATACATAATTCTGAACATTTCATGTAATTTAAATAAAATAATTGCACATTTTTAATGTTGGCATTGCCCAAAACGAAATTCTAAAGTCTACGGCCTTTTCAAGTTTTGAAATCCTATGTCGGGGAACTTGATATCATTTAGTACCCTATGTAAGTTCGAAATGAGGCCATTTAAAAAAACCGTTGACTTTCAAATAACCTTAAAAATAACTTTAATCAAAATATCTGTTTGTATCGTCACATTTCCCCCTTGAACAGTATAATTGTTCCCTTTGACATTTTCTATTGTCATCAATATTAACAGGGATATTTAAGTGTTCTGGTTCTTATGACTTACCCAGTATATTCTATCGATCGCAGTAATTTCAAAACATTATGTAAACATGAGTTTATTTTCAAGATATAGAAAATATATTTGACCTTAATATACTTTAACCTTTTGCGATTGGCCCATTTCTCTGGTGGCATTATCAACTAGTCAAAGCAAGTTTATATTTATACTACTCGATCATACAATAATAGATCTATTCAGAGAAGAAGATTACGCCGCTACAGTGGTGACACCAATTGTCGCATCCGTCCGCGCGGATTCTTTTTTGAATCCGCCTGGGGTTGTAAATTCCAGGCTCGATCGTTGTGGTGTTGGATGACTAACCATCTGTTAGTCTTGAATCAACAGAGCGCTAGCCTGATAACCTCTATGCATCCGCCGTTTCTGAAATATGTTATCCGTCATCGCTTCGATTTCCATTTCAAAGTCTGGTTTTGTACAAAGTTCGGTTTTTCTCCTATTTAGTTGTTAAGGGCCTAACTACTGTATATAAGCTCCCCGAAAAGATGTGGAGGTTAGATCTGATTCAGACACGAGACTCGCAACATCGTCAGTAACAACTCAATTCCATAGTATAGTGTACTTAGTCGTGTCTAAATGCAAGTCGTTTGTTGTAAGCCTTGCAGTTTCTGAAATACATTTATTATATTGTCATCAGTGTATTATTGATTTGCCGGGTTTCCATCAGTGGTATTTACGCGTAAAGTCGACGGGCACGATATTGTATCCTCGTAAAGTTAAGCGTTTATTAGAGTCCCCTATTCATGTAACCGCACCAAGGACTGTACGCACTCCGAACCGTCGAAAAAGTCTAAAATGAACGTACAAAGGAAGTAAAATAATAAAAATTAACGGTATCGTCTGATTCTATAACCGTCGTTCCTGGTCTACGACAGAACACCAACTTTAAAGACAAATTTTGAATTCTGCCACACATAAAGTTTAGTTTCTCATGTTTGCAGACAATTATTTATTTTTCCACATTTTTCTCGACAAATTAACAGTTTACTGAACGAGCGACATGAATGTTGGATTGGTCGTGGTGGTACAGTAATTTTTATTTACGTAGTCTTATTAAATCAAAAGTTTATTCTACAGTTAATTGTAGACCTTTAGCAGTGAAAAGCGAGGACTATTTTTGCGTTTAAAGATTTAAAAACACAAAATACATTGGGAAGCGTTCATAATAATTTAATTCAGTGAGCATAGCTGTGTATGCAGCACCATGGGCAACAGTTTAAGCAATTTTTGCATTAATAAAGAGACTCTTAAAAATCACGTGTCTCATTTTTATTTCCAAACCTACTCTAAGCAGAAAAATATAGATATCAGTTATACAGAGGAAAAAATCACAATTTTAGGGAAAACAAGTTTGAATATTTTAATCGGTATAATTTTGTACGAACATCATATTAATTTAACTGTCTGGGTGTAGTAAATTTTGGATGCTTACATACAGGATTCAACCGATAAAAAGTACAGACAGCAACGGCTGTTTATACTAATAGGTAACTCAAGAACTGTAAAGAGTTATGTCATTGTTACAGCAAATAAGCACTATGCAATCTAGTGCATGCGTTTCCTGTCGAATATTTAAAGCTGACTTTATCGAATCCAAAGTCTTACATAAAACAATTTCATTCTATATTTTCGACTTATGTTGTCACGCAGAATCACTTTCTTCCCGATTGTACCATGATTAATGGGACACTCTGTATAAAAAATCGAACGTTAATATTGAAAGAGTTTAGTATTAATTGTGTGACCGAAATTCAATTTACCAAATTTTGATGAGAATTCAATGATCGAGATTAGATGATTTATTGTAGTCTAGTTAGAAAACGGAAATATTATGATTCATAATTATTTATGAATACATTTACCTATCGCCGTTGAAAGTAATGTAGGCAAGGTATGTCCAATATTGTCTAAACAATTGCTAGAACAAGCACTGGACGTAACAAAAATAATCTATACAAAATTACTGACGGCAACACAGGATAAACAAACCACGAAATATATCTAAACTGAGGATAATATTATCTAGTAAACAATGCCAGTTTTCCTTATATTGACATATTACGGTCAATTACAGATTTAATCCAAAAGAAAAGACATTGCTAATACTTAAAAAAAATAGTAAAATGTAGTTAAATTGATCAGAGTTTCAGAACGGAAGAAAATAAATTACGTATGAAAACGATGGAATAATAATGACGGAACTTCGAAATTGTTTGACGAAATGAAATATCAAAATATAGTAATAGCAATAAATTACAGCAGCTATGAAGGAATGGGTAGACTGTTTTATATTTTACATCTGTTAACTTTCGGAATCCGTAAATCGATAGAGCGCAGAACATAAATATGGACGAGAAAGTACTTCGGTGTGAAAACACAGTAACCCTCCAATATTTTTATAAACCATTTTCGATATTCAGTCTGGGAGAAAATGGAGAATCAACAAAAGAATACGCGGGAATGTACACAATGTGAAAAACACATGTAACATGAAGGTATATCAACAATACAATCATTGTGTAAATAGCGATGCATGTGGAGTTGAACAACATTTTTTTAACAACATGCATCAGAAAAAATTGTTTTAG